ATTGCAGTTCTTGACGTTCTGAATTCACATTTATTTATTGGAATGACGAAAGTAATGTTGACTTCATTTTAATTTGTAATGAATTGAAGACAGAAAAAATTATTTTACCGTAATATACACATCTGTAACAGCAAGTGATCATGAAATTGTAAGTTATGTTGTTGGTAATAGAAAGGTAAAAATTATTGAGAAATTGTTCTTCAAATGCTTGGCGTGTTCTGCTTCAATGTTTGGCATGTTCTGGTTAGTTTTTTCAAGTTCTTCAGCTGTTCCTTAGGGAAATTTCGATTTTTATTTGCTGCTAAGAAAATGGCGTCCGTCATGGCCGATGATTTTGATAGAACTAAATGAAAACGTGATAAATTAATGTCTGATATTTACAGGCTCCCGATAGAGGGCGTACTCGAGCGTTGCGATCGCGAATAGAGATCTATCGACAAAGACTACTCACTTCTGCCTAGCTTATGCTCGCTCTGGTTATTTCAGTTTCCGTTTTTAAAAGCGCTATATGTTGACCCATCTGAGCTAGATTTGGCATGTGACATTTTAAGCAGCAATCATTGGTCAATTTTCTAGCGTTGCCATTCGGGGAGTTGTAATGAGGCTTTCTTTTGTCACCGTGTAAGAGAAATATATATATAGATACATCATTTTCAGATTAAACAAATTTTCAAACCTAATTGTTAAACGACTCTTACTTATAAGGCCATAAGTGCGACTTTTACAACGATATCCAGACTTTCATTTCTCTTTTGAAACATTTGTACATCCTTAACAGAAATAGTTTTAAGAATTCTATGCAACTTTTTCTACTTCTGAATAGAATAAAATATATATTTTTCAAAAGACATTTAAGTTACCATAATTTAAAGTCTTTTACTATTAAAAATAAAAATAAAAAATACAAAATTTATATTTCAATTATCTATCATGGTACAACAATATACATTATTTATAAATGTAATCGATTTTATGGCAAAAAGCAGAAGCTAACACATACTAAACAATTGTTCATCATAAGAAATTTTGTTATTAAACTTAATAAATGCAGTGGTATAGTTTGCGCCTTGCTTCGATTTATACATAGTTCTTATGTGATTGGAATTTGGCTTTAATAGTTTATCATAATGATACGATTAGATCCACAATGCGCAAGTGCATTGTACCAATTGAAGATCTAATACGTATAACAAAGTGAAGTTTTTATCAGTCCTTACTGTGGTGCTCCTTTTTCCAGCCAATATAGAATATCAAAAACTACTGATCAGAATTGTTTAATTTACAGCATATATGTTACTACAGTTTTGAAAGCATATAAAAGCTATGTTTTTTTTTTTGAAGAATAAATATTTATGGTTCTTAATAATAATAATAATAATATAAATAGTGTTTTTTATCGCTGGAGAATTTTAGTACTTTGTGACATGTACATATTAGCTTTAGCACTTCAGGCAGCATTTTGAAAAATTAAAAAAATCAGGTCATTAATTTTTTTTTGTCGTATGCCTGTTTAGGCAGTGGAGGTGAGATTGTTCCTGTTTTTCAGTGGCGCCATCTATGGCCAGGAATTCGACTTCTGCCGCACCATTCACACAACCACAACCCGTTTATAGGGCGGGTCACATTCACACACAAAGGAGAAAGGACATAAACACGCAGAGGGAAAAGAAACATCCATGCCTTTCCCGGGATTCGAACCCAGGACCTTTCTGATGCAAGGACAGTTCCCTGCCCCCTACACAGGCCGGTCGGCAGGCCATTAATTCTAACGCGATTTTGAATTAAATTCACATGCTTAGTATTACTAAACATGGCGTTTTCTTATTAATTAATATGTGAAATAATGTAACATTTTATTTATCTTAGAGGCTCTGCGGGTTTCTGTATCACCACCAGAACTGCGATTAGAGATAGGAAAAACTGCCACATTCAATTGCTCCGTTTCTGGCAGCCCCCATGGCATAGTGAGCTGGAAGAAAGATATGCGGACTATAAATATGAATCCAAGAGTAAGTTCACCGAATCCTTTCCTACTGCAGATACGCCAAATTAAGAGACAAGATCAAGGCATGTATCAGTGCTTTGTTCACCGAGACATCTATTCTTCACAGGCATCCTCTCAACTCATCATTGGAGGTAATTTGCATTTCTTTGCACTACTAGAATTAAATTTCTGTATGTTCTGTATTTTTACAGCGTTTATATCAACTTGCCCTCGTGTATGTCTGTTCTGGTGGAATTTTGCAATCGATTTTAAACTAACTTCCTGACTAGCTACAGACTTCAAATTTGGCACATAGTTCAGAATTGGATGACAATACATGAAAATGAAGAGAAAAAGACATACAAAATAAAATAAAATTAAAATTAAAGAAGAAAAATTAATATTTTCGCGATTGTCCTTTGTTGTCCATTCGATTATTTCAAATTAGTGTCACATGTCTGTTGAAAAATTTTGTGTGCAGTGAGTAAAAAAATTGAGATTTTGGAAGTGAGTACAACAAAAAATAAAAATAAAAATAATATTTTTAAAAACCACGTTTTTGTAGTGGAGAATAATAATTAAAAAACAAAAATTTTAAAAACGAAAAACGTGGGGCGCATGAAAAACATAACAGTACATATACACATTTTCTTACTCATACACATGCACAACCACATCCGCATTCAGATACAATTACAGACATACATACACATATTCTCATGAGCACACATACTGTTACTGTTATGTATTTCATGCTCCCCACGTTTCTTGTTTTTCAAATTTTTGTTTTTTTAATTATTATTCTCCACTACAATAACGTGGTATTTAAAAATTTTATTTTTATTTTTTTTATAATTATTGTTGTCTCAGCTGCTACAAAATAGATAGATCTTATAACAGCCTTTTGCCAAATCTCAAGATAATATTTTATGTTATAGGATAAAATAAGAGGAACTGAATTAAGGAAAAAGGCAATTGGGGAACTAAGTTCAGCATTAATAAATATAATGTTCTGTGATTGTGTGTTAAATAAAGAGTGTTTTCTTATCCGTCGAAAAGATAATAATTAGTCGAAAAGAGGATATTGATTACTAATGTACTGTTTACAAGCCATTCGTATTATATATCATAATGATGAAAGGGAGTTAGCGCAAGTATGAAGTGCGTCATGTTGTATATTTTCTGGAAACTTCTTTTAATACAAAACTGAAATGTCTGTTATAATATAGTTACTTTTTGAATTTTTGACCATTTCGCAGTTAATACACTTTTTTTTCGTTGAGGGTGCACAGCTTTTGTTTTAAATAAAAATTTGTTTGAGATTTATTAAATTCAATGAAATTACTAGATTTGACGCCGGGGATGCAAACGTCCTTACCTGAAGAATATTAAGAAAAATAATTACATGTAAAGTTTTTTGTGTTTAAATTAAGTAATTAAAATATTTCTCCAGTAAAATTGAAATATTTTATTGGTTAGAAAACACACGCACATTAATTAGCCAATTCATGATCATTAATTTGTTTTTCTAATAGCAAACAATTGAAATCCTGAAACCAACAGGTTTTAAAACAAGAAAGATGGATGGGACCTTCTCAGCCTCTCTCATTTTCCGTTGTTCTGTAACTCAAAAAAAATTACTTAAAATATTGAGTATTTCTTTTATTTTGCATATTGTGGTTCATTTTAAGTGATAATTTAATCATATACTAGCCTTTCGCAAACGTATAAATAATCTAATAACAAGAATGACGGGAGAGGTCAGAGTGGTCACCTTGATTTTTTGGTATACTTCCCATAGGTTTAAGTATAAGATACTCTTTCGTAGGTATAAGGTACTATAGTTTCATTTTTAAAAAAACTGAATATTTCTGCATATCTATAATAATATTTTTTTGAGAAAAGGAAATGCAAATATCAAAGAAACTAATCTGTAAGTATATTTGAAAAGTCAGTTTTCCATTTTATTAAATATTTTCGTTTAACACCATAGAATTTCGATAAACGAGTCTACATTTTCTCTTAAATTAATTATGGTTATATTTTAAAATTTCGGAGGTCGAATTAATCTATAAACTGCCAGGGAATCGTCAGACTGGCCTCTTTAGACCTTCTAGATATACATTAATTCTCAGTCTTTCGAACGTCAATTAAAAGATATAATTTCTGATTAATAAAATTTCATTAAATATCTAAAATGCGGAACATTTAGATGAAAATATTTTTCTACCTATTTATAATCACTATAATATATCTACAGTAAAAGTAGACACCAAAAATCAAAAAAAAATTTATTCATTTATTTTCAGATTTGAAACCAACCATTAGGACAGCTTTTCCAGAAAAAACGGTTCGTTCCGGACGATTTGTTTCCCTCACTTGCGAGGCTACAGGTCACCCGCAGCCTACAATACGATGGACTTTGGATGGAATTTGGCCATTGTCCACCAGTGCTGGTGTTCAAATCAACACATATCAAACATTGAATGGTGATGTTATCAGTTCAATAAATTTTACATCAGTTGATTTAACCGACAGTGGAATTTACACATGCCAAGCAAGAAATGATGCAGGAGAAAGTAGCTATTCAAACAGACTTAATGTTTTTGGACCAGTTTTTATTCGATCCATCGGTAATATGACTGCTATCTCTGGAGAGACTTTTAAAGTAAATTGTCCATTTGGAGGATATCCATATGAATCAATTGCCTGGAGAAAAGGTAAATTTCCTTTAAGAAGTAACTTGCGTACGAACAATTATTACACTTAATATTTTTTTTTAATTTAAAAATTTATTATACGATTGTATATTTCGAGTCAGTGTGGAAATTACAATGGATATCAGGCATCAGGCATTTTAATCATCTAACTGAGGATTACATGGGATCTAATGGCGTCACATTTAATACAATTTAAACTTTTCAAACTCATTTAAATACTTTTACTGCAATTTCTTAAAACACTTTTAAATAATAACATTTGTAAATAATGGTTTTAGAAAAAAAAAGACTACAATTAGTCATTTCTGCACACGAATCTAGATTATTTATTAATACAAAGAAGACTTCATCTCTGGATGCGAGTGTGTTTTAATCCTAGTAGTTAAATTAGTCATGATAATCAGCAAACTATGATTCTAATCACCAATTCTAATTATAAAATTTGTAATTACTTTGATTTTGAAACTTTATAAAACAAACTTGCTTCTTAGGGAGAACACAGAAAACCATATGTTTTTATCTACATACTTCCTTTTTTCATTTTAATTGATATTTTATATCCGTCTTAATTTTTGGAACAACCACCATCACTTGATTTAAAACAATTGCAACTTTAATCTAAAACTAAAAATATAACTTATATATATAAGGTGTGAATAGGCATTGGTAAGAGCTAAATATATACTCCATTATTACTCACAACTTTGTGTATGAAAGAGACCATCAAAGGTTGCAGGTGAGCTTTTTACACTATTTGCTCACTTTATTAAAAACGAAAATGGCTCAGAAAATGTACTGACTACTGGGCAAATTCTTTTCTTGTTAATTGAGGTTATCTTAGGCATGGGATCAACTTACAAAGCAGTCAACTTGACATGTTTCAATATAGCAGATAAGTTAAACTGAATTTCATTGACGTCAAACTCTGAGATTTGTTTTTACTATTATTTATAAGAATTGAAATATTTTTTTATAGATGAACAAGCTCTTCCTGACTCTCAAAAACAATCCGTGTTTCCAAATGGGACACTATTGATTAAAGAAATGCTATCTGGCATCGATGACGGTGTATATACATGCGAGGTTAGAGGATCAGCACAAGAAATTCCAGCATCACGATCTTTTCGAGTAGTTATTCGAAGTAAGGAAAATATGTTTACATTTATTTTGTGCATTTTTTAATAAATCAACCGTATAACTTTTAATATAAAATAAGCAGTTATTTTATTTAAAGTTAAATATAAATTTTGTCAATGTTCGCTGTTTATCGTTATTTAACATTTGTTTTTGATGTTAACTTCACAAGCAATTTCATTAATGATATTCATCGTTAATGATAATCCGGAGACAATATTGATTCATGTTCACTACACTACCACTATCTAAGCCATAGGGCTGGTAAATGTTTGCAGTTATCATCTCGGATATTTAGTTAAACATCTGGCACTGCGAAAACTTTTCCAGTTAAGGACAAAGATTCATTTTAATGCTGATCCGTAGACAATACTGACACATGTTTCACCATGCTACTACAATTTAGACAATTCACATTGGAAGGCTGATGTTACTAATAATCATCCACCCTTCGTTTCTCGCTCTTTCATCACCAAAACATGCAAAATTAAATTCCAGTTCTGATACCACAAAGAACTTCACATTAAAGAAAAGACTCCGTACAGCTAAGAACGTAAAAAAAAATGTAGTCCGATCAGAAACTCAGCCTTCTGCACAGGAAATCAATCCCAAGCCAAGTGATAAACTAAAACTTAACAACCTTAATGACTGGATAGCATCAATAATTTAGATTTGAGAAAATAAATAAAATAAAATGATTGCATGTAAAAAAATACATTTACTTACTTAATGCATGCTTAAATAATAGTGTTAAAATATAATTTGTTTGATTTTATGATTTAATAAAAAAAAATTTTTTTGTAGCAAAACCCCAAGTTGCCAGATTTCTGCTGCAGGATAATTTGCACGAAGGAATGCGGACAGCTTTTACTTGTATCGTTCTTGCGGGAGATAGTCCGATGACCATTCAGTGGTTAAAAGATGGATTCCCTATCAATGAAAGAAGTCTGGAAGCCTCAATAATATTTGCCGAAGAAGGTTACGTTTCTACCCTGACTATAAAATCATTAGCCAAAAAGCATAGCGGTAACTATACTTGTCTCGCCACGAATGATATTTCTACAGCTTCATTTAGTGCTGAATTAAATGTCAAAGGTAAATAGTGCATCTACGTTTCTTTTTCTTGCCTTTTTCAGCCAAACAGTAAGACTTTAAGTTAATCATTGGCAATTTTCGATTACATAGATATAATTTTAAAGATATCCATTATAATTTTTTTTAAATTAATTTTGACAAAAAAGCCAGGGGGGTAAATGAAACGTCGAGGTAAAATTAGACAACGCATCTAAAAATATCGTGCTAAATATCACAAAAGAGATATTTCGAAGCGATATTTCAATAATCACAGTATCACATTCATCGTTTATCACGATATTAAATATCGTAATGAAGCTTTGAAATATTGAGTTTTATTTTTTACGACCATTAGCTAACAAACAAAAAATATCGTTAATAATGAATATCGATTACAATAAAAAAGTTATCACTACCTATAACGATGAGTATCAAATATGATATTATGATAATTATTGATTTTTATACTATCGTGAACGTCGCTAAATGTCATGTCCTGCTTACTTACTAAACATGTTTTCCTATCTGGGAAATGTCAATCTTTCGAATACGAGTTTCTGAAGTTGTTCTCCTTAATGCCAAAGCACTACTGCCAGTGATATCAACTATCCAAGTTTTGAATTCTTGAAACCTAGAAGAGCTTGCTTTTTAGAAAGAGAATTCGTGAAGAAAATTATAAAAAAATTAATTCCATATTCAGAATGAAATTCCAAGTTAACTAGATGTGTATCGTAGTAAAATAATTTTTTGAAACTATTGAGATATTTCGTGATTTCTCAGTTTTACAACAAAATAGTTCATTGCTAAGACATTAGTCAAAATTTTGAGTGGTTTTCTAATGATGGATCAACGCAATCTTGTTGGTAACCATCAATGATTCCATCATCAACCATCATAATTTTCATCGTTACCAACATTTTGATGGAACAACCATCACCTCAATGTAGGAATTTGAACTGATTTATGATGGTCCAATATAAACATTGCTACTTGTCCTGTTAATTTGTTGAAGTCGAACCATCAGAAGTTTCCTTCATTAGTTTCTTTGAAATGTTGGATCAATCATGAACCGCCATCTACCCAATGTAAAAATTCGGACTAAATTATGATGGTTCATCATAAAATAAATTGTTTTGCTGGTGTATTCCTGCTGAACTAACAAGAATATATATTAAACCGTCATGGAAATGTATTGTTGTACCATTATGGACCATCATGAATTACCATCATAATATCTTAATCATCGACAAAGGTATTTCCCTGACTCTTTCTAGCTGAAATCATATATTTCCATGAGTTACTAACATTTATATTAAATTTCGTGAACGCTATCTGGACTATACCGCAAATTTGACTATAAGAATTCTGTTTTTGGAATTATCTTACGTCTCTGAACTTGTAAGATTAAAAGCCCAAATTTAGAGCACAATTCAAGATGAATAACATTGAGTAAAAGAATTGAATAATCCAAGCCAGAGCAAGTATTTTGTCAAACAGTTGCGACCAATGTAAAGATAAAAAGTGCCACAGCTGCACTTCGATGGGAGTGAGATATTCCCTAATTCTTGTCAAGGAAGCCCAGCAACTTCCGGCAGAGTCAAATAGCACTCTTTGTTTAATCCTAGAATCAAGGCTTTTTGTCGCAAGTTTCACAGAGTGGAAAGGAAGTGCTCTCAAGGGCACTTGGAAAACCACTGCACCCTTCTTTACCAGAAGGTTTGTATCTTCATTTACCGAGATCCGCAGGGATGAAACTTAGAAGTGCATTATGTCAATGATGTCGATTCCTGTCTTTTTAGAATAAATGTTTAAGTAATTTCAGTACTTAGGAACAAATGGGATACAGCATACATTATCACAGTTCAAATAATAATATTGAAAATGATGTTACTGATTCGAAGTTATGTATTCAACCATACAACTAAGTTGTTGCTTTTTTCATATAATAATTCATCAGGTTTTATTTGCTATTATAAGAAAACGTTTATTAACATGAATACCGATAAAATAATATCAATATACACTATATACTACATACACTGTTTTTTGCAGCACCACCAAAATGGATATTAAAGCCTAGCGATATTAGTGCTGTCTCTGGTAGAGCAGCCATGATTGATTGCCAAGCAGATGGTGTACCACAACCCCACATTCGTTGGAAAGTCGCTTCAGGTACTAGAATAATTTATACAAAAGTATTTTAAAAACGTTGGACATACGTTGGAAATTAGTAATTTAGAAATTTTAATATTTAAGCTACGAAAAAATTTGTTGTATCTTGGTGCAAAATCCACTAAGAATTTTATTTTTCTAAACTTAAAAAAGCCTATAAGATTATTTGGTGACGGTAGAAGCACCATTATTGGATTCACCTATATTGTAGAAAATTCCGGATTAAATTACTGTATGAAGTACCAGCAATTTGGACGCATCATCCCTAAAATCCATTTTACTCTAAAATCCATTTTTACCGTAAATATTATACCGTATTTCTTCTGCATTAATATTTATTTAATTAGAGTGATTCAAAGAATTTAGGGTAGTTGTCGCAATGAAAGTTGGGGTATTTTAGACTCGTTGTTCCGTAAACACGTTCCGGTGAAAATGTGTTTTACAGATAGAAGTATCGGCAATCTTATTGTCGCTACTTTTTACTGTAGAGTCAGATCTTAATTTTTTTGCAGTGTATAATATACACTGTAATAATTATACTTAATACAACGGATGCAAATAACTTAGTGAAGGAACAAAATAAGAAAAAGTAAATACTTATTGAATAATAGGTTTATCACATTTGAGCGGTTTAATGTTGAATTTTTTTTACTTTATTTTTTATACCTGTCGTTGAACAGCTGACCCAGTTCTGTGTTTGCGACTGCTAATGTTCAACGCGCATCAGTCACCGTCTTTGGCCGCGGGGAACCCAGGCCCCATTGGTAGGATGAATTGCATATATTCGGATGTTCCTTCAATTTTAATATTGTTCAAAATTTCTGCAATTGTATAAATATGATTGTAACGCCGTGATGGCTCAAGGGCTAGAGGGTTCGCCTTCCAATGAGGTGAACTGGGTTCGAAACCCAGTCGATACGAATTCCACATGCGGCTCGCACCAACCACAGTGCAGACGTGAAATATCCTCAGTGGTAGACGGATCAAGGGTTAGAGTCCCCTTGCCGTAAGGCTAACCGTGTGAGGTTCTCGCGCTCTTCCTCTCCATGTAACGCAAATACGGGTTAGTTCCATCAAAAAGTCCTCCTCGAGGGCAAATTTCTCCCAATATTCGAACCAGCAATTTCCTTGTCTTCTGGATTGAGCTCAAAATTAGAAGGCTACGGAGTTGAACATTAGTAGTCGTAAGCCCATGAAATTGGGTCGGCTGTTCAACGACGGTTATAAAATAAAATAAAATTGTGAAAATGTGTTAAATTGAATTGCATTCCCTATCAAGCTAAACAGAAGTACGAGTTATTAATTTGTCACAATATTACGGTTCAATTCGAATTATTATGGTTAATAGGAATATTATGGTATGGTTGTAGCTTTCCAGAAGTAATTGCTGAAGGATTTACCGACAAAAATGCAATTATAAAACATGCGTAATCTAGCTTACTTGTTTCGTGCATATATCGTCGCTTTGAAGCTAAACCGTGGTAACTCAAAAAAGCAAGTATTTCAGGAGAGCGATTTCAAACTTCCCGCGCTAATGCTAATCGCGGCAATGCGGGGATGATTTATCTGCTCTCGAAATTAACTTAATGGAACTATAAAGATAACAGGTTATTTTTCTAAAAGGGTGACTTTTTTTACACAAAATGACCCAAAAATCTCATTTTTCGACTTTTTTGAGTTACAACGGTTTAGTTTCAAAGCGACGATATAACTTTAATTTCATTCAATTCATTTCAGATCACGCTCACCAGAATTTTAAAACAATTGTAAGCAGTTCTCACATTCACATTTTAGTAAATGGTTCTCTAAACTTTCGAGGTATTGAAAAATCAGACAGTGGATATTACCTTTGTGAAGCCAGCAATGGAGTTGGAAGTATCTTAAGTACTGTAGTACGTCTAACTGTCAATAGTAAGTTTTTGCTTCAACTTTGTTTTTCATGTTTTTTATTTTATTTTATAAGTTTTATGTATTCATTTGCAATAGTTTCTAGTTTATCTTAGTTCTTTAATCGATCACGTGACTCAATGTTGAATTTTGAGAGGTAGATTCAGTTTTAGGGAGCGGTTTCTTAGAATTTACTAGTCGGCCTCAACACTTAAAATTAATTCTCATCAGTTATTATTTTCCTTTAAATCAGTATTTTCTATAAAAAAACAAAGCAAATGCTTCTTACGATAAACTGTTTTGTAGATAATCGGTTAATCGTTTCGAAATTAAAGTTTACTTGAATTTTAAATATGATGATTTGTCTCTGGAAAAAATATATTTTAAAAGAATATAGATTATTGGACTCAATAAGAATAATTAAAAAAAACGTAATTATACTCGTTAAAGAGACTCATAACAATTCAACTAGGAGATAATGTTTATCTTCCTTGTATTAAGTTTTTTCGTTTCGAAAATTTCAATATAAATGCAAACATTTACATGTAATCACTTTCTTTTTTTCCTTTTTTTTTTTTTTGACAACATCAACTCATGGACATGTTTGTAAAATAAAGATCTCGAGAAAGTTAAATAAATGTTTCTACAACAATCGATAAATAGTCATATTTATAGCGAAAAAAAATTTAAAAAACTTAAAATATTTTTCAAAAACATTAAAATAACTTTTACATTAACATTATTATTTATTTTAATTTATTTTAATGTACATTTGTTTAACATTAAAATAACTTTTGAATTTACATAAAAAAAACTTTATTAAGTCAACAAGAGAATTGTTTTACAAAATGTCAAATTTCAATTCCGTTGTTGCATTTTAGTGAACAGCAAATATGTCGCATGATATTTTAATGCAAATATTACAAATAATAGTTCTCAAATTAATTATCGAATATTATACTTTTATTCCGTCGTATTTTCTATACATGTTTCTAAACCCTTTTAAGTTTCATAGTTTTTCCAAAGCAAAGAAAAAATTATAATGTTTAAATTTAGAACCGAAAGCAGCTGCAACATCAGTATTTACGATTTTTTAATATATTTATTTTAATGTATAAATGAGAAAAAGTATCTACCTTTCTATAAAAATTTTTCTCCATCGATAAAATGTTAATTTACTCACCTTTATAGGTTATAATATTTTACATTCTGTTTAGCCATCATTCTAAAAATATAGATTGAGATCTTTTATATTTGCATGGCAATTATTATAACGAAAAGTGCACAAAATCCCAAAATTCTAATGAAAAAGAAAAAAGAACAATGTAACATTAAAATAATAAAACAAAAAACTAAATTTCATAATGAATATTTCAAAAATGCGCGAAAGATTAAAAATAGAAAGAAAAAATTTCTTTCAGAAAAAAAGGCTTTTTCTTTAGGAAATGGCGTATGTTCCGAAGGGAAACGAGCCGTATTCAAAATTTTTGACAGAAAATATTCTTTTTCAGGGGGGAAGGTATGGTGTGGAATTGACAAATGTAATAAAAAAAAACTTAATACTAATGGAAGTAGGCAGTGCATGTCCATTTAACTTTTCTTGTGAAACTTTTATGAGACAATTCAATTACCCAACTGAAAGCAAATGCGTTTTACAGATGTTGCAGAAATGTTTTTAACGAAATCTTATGTCAGAGTTAAAATTTCTTTAACTCACTGAAATTCTTATTTTTGTGTCTATTGTTTTAAGCTTCTACTTTTCATTGCTTCTTCTGCATGAGACGTTACATGCAAATTTGTTATATATCCGCATTATATTATTATATTATTCTTATTAGTTTCCAGTATAAATTAAATAGAATTATAATCCTCGCAGCAGAATTTTTGTTCATTTCTACAAGTACTTGAACATATCTAGTTCAGCTGACTAGATAAGTTCAGTTACTTGAACTTATCTAGTCAAGTCATACTAGTGATTGTAATCATCAAGAAATGTCATAAAAAATAATGTTAAGTGTTACTTAAATGTAACACTTAATAATTTTTATATCTAAGCCTCCAAGTAGGAATTAAAAGGGTTAAACAACAAAAAGTTTGATCTTTCAGAAAGAAGTGGGTCAGTTTTCTAATAAGAGGGACGGGGTGTTTTGGTCAACTGGCAGCCCAATGGAGGTAGGCCAGTGATAAAAAGTGCACAATTGGCCAATTTATTTTTACTGCTAGCATACAATGAGATAGTAACTTATTTTTTCGTGTCGGAGTCACCAAATCTCCAAGTATGATTTGGGTGAAACATTGTACAAACAGCATTATCACCCTGGAGGCGTCATGACCACTTCCATCTAACCAGTAGCAAGGACTGCTGGAAAGCAAATAACGAAACCAAGTTTTGTTTTTTCAGACTTCCATGATTCCTAGATGAGATTTTTTTTCTCTATGTTTAGTGATTTTGGGAAACTGCTACCCAAGTCTCGCCTTAACTACAATTTAACATAATTAACTATCGCATAATTAAGCCTAACATAAAACGTAACTAATAGCTTAATAAGTTCATGATTATAATTGATAATATTTTTTTAATTTTACTTGATTTATCTTTATTGTAAATCATTGTTGTATAGGGTAGTTGCTATAATTTAACCGCCTACATAATGCTTTTAATATGTAATTAATGTATGTGTAACTAATATACATATATATGTAATTCAATGCAATGTAGTTGAATTGTAATTTGAAAATTTAATGTAATTATAACTGTTATTGCTTAACCCTAACTAATCTATTCATTCTAATATACATGTTAATAATCATATTAACTATCAGTTTTATCAAATCATTATTACTTATTATATTAACTTAATTTAATCAATAAATCAATGTCCATTTTTATTCTAGCTATAACTTATTTTTGAACTCCACTTGGTGTAGCTGTAATCAGATTAATTGTAATTCTAATAATTTTATTATTATGCATGAACGAAACCATAGCGTACTACTACGTCTCCTGTTATTTAATTATTGCGATTGTTTTTATTTAATGTCATTAATACCCCTTTTTACAGCCAAGCCCAGACAGACCTTAGTGGATCAGTAAGGTTGTAGGATTAGGCAGTAGGAGCGCGGGACCTCACGCACAACTTCTGGGTGGCTGCTGGTGGTTGCTGAGTCCGATGGGCCTGGGTCTTTCGAACTTCTGAAGAGTGTGTACTCAGTGGCCTCTTCAAAGTCGTAAAACCGCCTTGCGGATAGGCTGGCCTTCTGCGGTGACTAAATTAATACCTATTTAATGGTTTTTTATACTAGTATATTGTATCATTTTAGGTGCTCCACAAATTCTACCTAAGTTCTTAATAATGAGTATCAAGAAAGGTGAAAAATTCACACTTGATTGTCAAGCAACTGGAGATCAACCACTGAGATTTACATGGAAAAGAAATAATCAAATGATTGATCCATCCTCTGAGACTAGGTAATGAATAATATTGGCAATCAGATTATTGAATCGTTAGATTGAAACTTATTGAGGTTTGAATATGGTATTTCAAATATGATACAAATGCATACGGTTAGAAATATTGAGTGCGTTGAAGCACAATATTTCACAAAACTACAGTACTAAGTTTATAAACATCGTAGAGGCAGATCAACTTAAATTGGATTGCATGTAACAAAGGTTTAAAAGCAAATGAGGCATAGATCAAGTTAACACAGTTTTAATGTTGCAATTAACTTGCGTTACGTAATGTTTCAAGGAACCAATATTGTATTTTAACGTTGAACCATTTTCGGATTTTTTTTCCATTTACTTTGCTTTTAGAAATAAATTAAATGTTCGAGTTCATTGATTATTGGACTCTTTTTAAAACTTTACCGCATGTAAATATGAAAGAGAAAATAATGCATCTAAATGCGAAAATAAAATTAGGACTATTGAGGGCAGTAGTCATAAAATCAGAATTAATTATTTTTCTACGCTATTGTTATTCGTGTAACATATTAATAAAATATTTTTTCTTGCTCTAAACCGAAAGAGAATTCGTATGTTCACAAAAAGTGACAAACAAATATATGCAACAAAAATGAAAAAGCACAGACTAAAAACAAAGCTAAAGATAAAGTTTTAATCACAAAAAATAATCATAGAGCATTCGTTCCGAGTTAAAAAGCAACCTGATGGCAAATTATTCAAACTTTCGAATTCAATTAGTTCGAAATAACTTTTGATCTATTGAACGGATCTTGTCTTTCTAGGACTCAGTCTTAATGATTCGAGAGAGTGATTTCAAATACGATTATTAATTAGTGCAGATGATATTTTAAGTCACGAAATCAGACTCGTTTTTTTTTCTGAATAAACATAACTTTCTTTCTACGGATTCAGATTTATGACCCCCAAAACATAGGGGATAGCCACATTCTGAGAAATATGGTCCCAATAGTTTGATCCGGAAAGGACCCCTTCTAGTCAAATTTCACTCTTTGCTTAGTTTATTATATCTTCTGAGCTTTTAAATAGAATTGAAACAGTTTTGCCCTCAATAATTAAATTATTTCATCCAAAGAAATTTCCATGCAAAAAATAACTTTTCACAAATATTTATTATCATTTTTTTCATTTATCCTTTTTACTTTATTAGTATTTGATTTAGAAATGGTAGAAAAAATTTTAAACTGTCTGGTATACAATTTTTGCATCATTATAAGGAATATAATTTTACGTGGCTAATCGGTTGAACAGTTTCTATGAAGTTGAATTTCAAAAAAGTCAGATATTTAAATTTTGATTTCTCAGGAACTATTCAATCTATTTTGTTCACAGTTTGTAGTTTGCCATATAAAATTATATTCCTTAAAATGATGTGGAAAATGTATACCTTACAATTCAAATTTTTTTTCTACCATTTTTAAATAAAATAATATAAAATAATATATTTTTAAAAAATATTATTTTTTGCATGGATAAAGAATTTTATAATTGCGTGCAAAAATTTTTCAATCTCGAAATATAACGAAATACCCAAAAAGTTAAATTATTATTAAGGGATCCGAACTTAGGACCACTCTCCTGAACAAACTGTTGGGACAGTATTTCCCAAATTGCAGCTACCTCCTATATTTCATAGATCAGATATTCGAATCCGTTGGAATAAAGGTATGTTTATTCAGAGAAAGTACGACTTTGCGTCTGATTTTGTAGCTGAAAATATCTTCTACATTTAATTATTCGAGTTTTTGAGGTCACCCTCTCAAATTATTAATCTTTAGTCCCAGAACGTAAAGATCCGATCACTGGATCAAAAGTTACTCAGGTTGGTCCATTTTTTTTGCGCACTGAACATTTATACAAATAAATATATTCTTACAGAAAGTTTCTTTTTAGGTATTCACTTTCCATGAAAGAAACTGGTCTGGGTGTAAAGTCTACATTAACCATTGATAAAACAGAGAGGAAAGATTCCTCTTTGTTTATTTGTACAGCGATAAATGATTACGGAGAAGATTCCATGAATATCCAAGTAACCATTCAAGGTAAAACATCATTTCATTGATTGAAATAAAACAAGTTATGGAGTTGCAGTTTGTTTTGAAAACAAATTTACATTAAAAATTTATAATTAAATTATTTCTTTTTGAATTAGATTAACAAGTTTTAATCATCTTTGATATCTAGAAATCAGTTAGAATAACAAGGAATCACATTAAATTGAAAACCTCGCACGTTAGAAAAACATTTCAAGAATCGCAAGCAACCTATTGTAACAAAAAAAAGTGCAAACGATCTTCCCTAATTCCAGAGCACTGAAATTCCGGAAAATCCAAACTTTTCGTATTTTAAAATGTTATAAATGAAAAAAGTATTTGTAAAAATAACCATTATGGGAGTACACGACTAACGGAAAAATATATGAACAAAACTACCTGACTATGGTAAAATTTATCGTATTTATCGCTCTTTAAACTAAACTCAGTGGCGCGACAGCCCATAGAGGGCCAAGGCCTACTGTGCCCATCTCAGTTTTCTTGACCTTGGGCTCTGGGGTGCAGGAGCAGATGTTCCGGTCAGGTGGTCAGCCGAACGCGGAACCCCCTGTGTTTAGTTCCCAAGCATGCTTGGTACTCATTTATCGACCCACTGAAGGGATGAAAGGCTGTCGCTCTCATTTATCGCTCTTTAGGAATAACAAAAATCTCGGAAATATTTACCAAAGCAAGGATGACGATTTTGTCAAAATTAACAAAAAAATATATATATTTTAGTAAGTGCAAAAATTTTGTAATTGTGGTAAAATTTGATTATTTTATCTTGATACAGTAGATCGTGGCATAAAAACCATTCATTTAGACAAATTAAGTTTTCTATTTAGCATGTTTACTAAATGAGTGGTAAAATTTTTAAGCCCACAATATTCAGTATTTTATTATTCTTCAAATATTGGGCAGTTTTTGATAACATTTGACAATTTTGAGTCAAAATCAAATGTTATCAGCAGTGTTAATTTCGCCGAGTAGTGATAATCAGCGAAAAAAAAAATCTTTTTTTTTAATATCATTCCCAGTATTATAGGAAAATAAAGACAGAACTTATTTAAAAAATAAAACTCTTAAATGAAAGTTTTTAAATAATCTTTCTAGGGTAAATTGATTTTTCAATATGCTGCACTTTTAACTTTTAAAAATGCATGATATTTTTCTTAGACCTACCAGATGCTCCTCAAAATTTAGAAGTTCATGATGTTTCTAGTCGAAGCATCCGATTGACCTGGGACCGTCCATTTGATGGGAATTCTCCAATTACGGAATACACTATAATGTGGAGATATGCAGATGGTAAGTTTCTAATTTGAATTAGTCGCCGCATCCACCCCCAATAAATCAAAATTATAAACTTCAAAAAAAGGGAAATAAAACAATTAAATAACTATATCAGATTTTTATGTATGAAAATGCGATCTTAATGTGTTCAATTAGCAGTTCTTAAACATCCAAATTTATTAATTTATTTCATACTGTTTGTAAAAAAGTCAGGCACAAAAACGTATTTTCTTTGAAACAAATGCACCCTTTTTTGAGGAATGATCAGATTTCTAACTCTCAAAACTTTGGATGAAGAAATGATGAAAATTTTGAATGTCTTTATAAGAGTGTTCACATTTTGAAAGAGGGCAAAAATTACCAATGAACTTATAAAACGAAAATGAGCTTTTCTATATCATTTATGGCCATTTTCTATCGATTGAATTTGGACAATAATTTGTTTTCCTTTTTTCCCCAGCCGAATCAACAGACGATCCTATAAAGGTGCAAGGAAAAGAAAAAACTATAACAGTAAGAGGATTAAAGCCGAAAACTAAATATTATTTTCGTGTGAAGTGTTCGAATTCTATTGGAGAAAGTCAATTTGGAGCTGAAGTAGCAGCAACAACTCTGGAAGAACGTAGGTACAATGATTTAACCGTAATTAAAAATTTAAATGTAATTATGAATTATAATAATAATAATTGCTTGATAGATATTATAATCAGATTTTATTAGGTATTATAAAAAGATAAACTTACATCATTTTTTGCAGCTTAAAATAACGTAAACTTGACATTTTTTCATACTGCTAAAAAAAGAAAAAAAAATCTTCAATGGACAGGTTTATATTCAATAAAATCCTTCTTACTAACAGATCATCAAAAATAGTTCACTAAAACTTCTTGTTGCACTATGATTCAAAAATAAGTCATACGCAGTTTTTAAAATTTTTTCCACCGTCTATCACTAGTATGATTATGAAACTATAAATACAAAACTATACAGTTTTGTACCACTTACACAACTAGCATGTTTTCAAAACCGTAAAAAGAAAATTTAATTTTATGTTGGAGTAAGGCTTTTTGTTAGGTAATGGGCAAAGGAGAGTGCAGGACAAGAATTGGGGAGTGCAGAATGCAGGTATTTCTTCATCTGCTGAAGAGAATGGAGGAACTATAGTGGTGTTAACTCTGCGATTGGAACCCCAAGTACATACGTAATGAGACTGACTGATAAACCCTCTCGGCTATAATATGAACGCAGTGGCAAAGAACTAAATGGCTTCATTGGGTGGCATATTTGGTGCGATAAAATTCTGGTTGTTTAACCTTATTAGGTGATAGCAGTCAATAAGAGGATTCTGTCGCAGTTTACAGTTTGATTAACAATTTTTTATGGGTATTTGACATTTTTATTTGAATATGGTGAAATAGCAATTAAATAAATTGTTATTAAGTCATTTTTTCCAAGAAATTTTTAAGAGTATATGATCTGAAGTAATATATGGAACATTATATTTTACAGATTTGTAATATTAAAACTCTAATTCATACCAACTAATTACTGATAAGTAAATAGTTGAAATGCTCTTACAAATTTTAAAAGCCTAAAATTACCATGAAAATTTTTCGCATTTTTCAGCTTTGAAAGTAGTGAAAAAAACTAAATTTCGAAATAAAGTATTGTATGCTAGATTTAAAATTTATTTAATAGCAATAATGCTGTGTTTATTTAGTTATAAATTCAATGCAAATTCCATTATTTATTTAAATATATTGTATCACCAATTTAAATTTTATTTCATTTTATTTGTTTATTTGTAGCTCCTAGATTGCCACCAATTTTCGTTACATCAAAAGCAACGTCTTCAAAAAGTGTTAATGTAACTTGGCAGGTAACATATATCGTTATATTTGCTTACAGATTTTTATTTTTTTACTTAATGCTATGAAAACCCTTTTTTTTCAAGAGCAATCTTATGAATGTACACATTAAAAATCAAAGAAAAATATTACGAATCTCTAAGATTATTGTTAAAATTAAATAATAATAATGAAACGCATGCCTCAAAACCATAAATCAAAACCTAAGGAAAGTAATAAATAGAAGAGGATATTATCAATGACAAACCCTCTTTCAGAAAGCCCAAAAGTTCTAGCTATAAGAATGTCGTTATTAGTTAGATGTATAATAATGAAAATATATGATTAATAATAATTGAAGTATGTCACAAGACCTAGCTTCAAAGGCGACGTCTGTGATTAATGAAGTAAGATCTTCGCAATAACAAACACTTTTAAACAGTTTTGATTTTATTCAATTCATTATTATCGAAATTAAGGTCACAAAATTATGTTTCAAAGACTAAGGTTTGTAACGAATAAAAGAGGTTTTTTTTTTCAATTTTGATTCCTTCGAATAGCACAAGCTGTGCTTCCTCTTTCGTGGCAGTCTTTCCGACAAGAAACCACGTGATTTACAACGAAATTTTTAAACAATTTGACTTCTTATCCCCATTCGAGTATCATATCAGTTTATTTTGGGAGTAAAACGTTCTTTTTATTGACGAGATATTAAGAAAGGTAATGCAAACACTAGCCACTGAAATTTACTGAGTGGTATTGATTTTTAAATCATTATTTTATTAATTACTATGCCTTAAAAGGCACGTAAGCTGATCTTAACCTCTTTGATTTGTTTTTTTTTCTTTCGTAGTGTCACTGATACTAACACTAGAAAGGACTTATAGTTTGTTTAACTCTTTCTATAAATATGATTTTTTTTTCTATTTTCTCTAACATAATATTAGTTTAGATATATCAAACTGAATTCGAACTCATTAAGTTAAATATTCTGCAATAATCTATGACCTTTAAGATAACTCTCTTCATAAATACAATTTTCATGTTTAATATTGAGTTTTTCGTTTATTATAAAAACAAATTACTACATTTTAATTCATATATTTTCAAATATATGACAATTTTAAACGTTTTTAGATGTCTTCTGAAGAAACTGATGGATCAAACTATGATGGATTTTATATCGGCTATAGAATGAGTTCAAGTTCTGAGCCTTTTACGTTTACAACCATTGAACAGTCCCGAAAGCATTTAGAACATTTTTATGAAGTTAAAAATTTAAATCGTAACACTGATTATAGTTTTATTGTCCAAGCTTTCAACCAAAGAGGAGCTGGTCCACCAAGTGAAACAATTTCAGCTAAAACTATGGAATACGGTAAGAAGAATGAAACTAATAAATTTTATTAATGAAATTTGTCAAGATAACTGATATAAAGCTACAAGCTTAAGTGGTTCACTTAAAAAAAAAAGAAACACTGATCATTTGAATGTAGGTGCAGCAAAAAAATTTAATAAAAAAATGTTAGATGTCAATGATATAGATGGCGCTTTGTATCCGTGTTGGCTCAGGGGGGCATCCCAATGAAATGATCCCTGGTCAATACGAATTCTGTATCCAGCTCGCACCGACTACTATGTGGTCGTTAAATATCCTTTGTGATAGACGAGTCGCAAGTCAGTGTTCCCTTGCCGTCATGATAATCGTGGGAAGGTTCATGGTTTTCCTCTATGGGTAACGCAAAGGCTGGTTAGTTCATCAAAAAGTCCTCCACAAAGGCAAACTCCTCCAAACACTAAATCCAGGAGTTCCCTTGTCTTCTGGATTGGGTTCAAAATTGCAAGGCTTCAGAACTGAACATTTGCAGCCGTAAACTCAAATTTGAGACTGCAGTTTAAAGAAGTTAAGAAAATATAAAAAATATAAAATGGATGGGGCTTTGAATAAATTAATTATATTAAATCCCTTACTAGTAATGTTTTTACACAGCCCTTTTAAAGTCAAAATCTGTTATTAATTTCCTAAAATACATTTTTTTTATTTTTAATTTCGCTTCTAATTAGCAATCTTTTAAATATAAATCTTGAGATTTATTCTAACTCAATAAACTAGGGTACTTCAATTGGCGAAGAAAAAAAAATTAAAACTCTATTCAGAAAATTATTAGTATAATGACTAAGTGTCAATTAGAGCTTTACAAATTAAACTAAAAGTTGTTTTAAAAGCTAATTATTGCTCATTTATTGAAATACAAGTATTTAAAAAAGGCTTATTAAGTTAATGGCATTGTGTAATTTTTAATTTACCTTAGGATGAAACTCAAAAGCTGTAAGACGGAAGAGCTTTTAAGTCTAGAAATATGAAGCTTAATTTATTCGATTTTGTTATTATATTCACAAACACAAAATTAACAAACTCAAAAAAAGGGAATATTTTTAATAGAAACTTTTGATAGAGTAGGAAAACAGCTATAAGATGAGAATAATAAAATTTAACGAATATTTCTTTCAAACACTTACATAATCCACTAGTTTAAATAGGCATGGATGAGGGAAATGAAAAATTTTCTAAAATATGCCTTTATTTAAATATGTGAAGACAAGCAGTTTTATTCATTTGGTTTCGAAATTCTTTGGAATATTATTTTCAATCATAACTTCAATATTATTTCTGGAATATTATTTTCAATCCTAACTTCAATATTATTTCTGGAATATTATTTTCAATCATAGCTTCAATATTATTTCTGGAATATTATTTTCAATCCTAACTTCAATATTATTTCTGGAATATTATTTTAAATTAAAAACTTACGATATATATTAAAAAGGACATGCTCGATGAAATCAAAATATTTTTAAAAAGCTCTAAAAACACGCCTTTGTTATAAATGTGAAGATAAGCATATTCTACCAATAACGTGCTGACATTTTTTTGAATATTACGTCCAAACATTTAAACAACAACGATGTTTCTTAAATGAGCATGATTCACGAGATCTGGAATATCTTGAAAAAGATTTCTTTATTTAAAAATGGAAAGACAAGCAGCTTCTGTCGTGTGTAGTTATGGAATTTTTTCGAATAATATTATCAAACTTTAGATAATTCAATATGAAGTAATAAAATTTTCAAGCATTTCTAAAAGCATGCTTTTAGTTAAAATTGTGAAGACAAGCTGGTTCCATCTTAAAAGTCGTATTTTTAACGCTTTTGCAGAAACTTTTTCAGAAACATGAGTGAGGTCTATCCCACGTTTCACAAGCTACTTTAAGTATATTTCATCACAATATTATTTTTTCTCAAATTTCACTAATTCTTAAAAAGACTTTTTCTCTTATGGAGCCTATGAAAATTTCTATGCATTGGTTACTTAAAATTTTTAATTGCAGCAATATTTGCATACATTTATTGCCAAAAATATAAAACAAAATATTATTTTCCAGAGTTTGTCTATATGAAACAATGGCTGATACAGATCCTTATCTTGTTATTAATTAATATATTATATAATAAATATTGATTAGTTATTTAATCGATATTGAAAACATTAACTATTTCTCATTCCTGAAATTTGTTTAAAAATGCATAAGCTTTCTTTTTTTTACTTTTAACTTTCTTTGAAGCTTCTCAATCCTAAAATTAATGAAGCTATACATTTTTACTAGTTTTTAAAACGTTATTTACAATTGTATTTCGTCTTTAAAGTGGTATAACCTGATTTAAACCTTTACTTTTAACTTTAGGGAATTTTTGCTGTAATACGTTACGTTTTTACATCTGAAATAGTAAATGTTTAGCTACTGGTCAGTTAAGTCAATCGGTTAACATTTTTAACGCAATTCTTTAGTCTTTTTTCAGATTTTCTAAGCGTTGCTATAGTTTTGATGAATTAAACAAAATATATTATTCAATTTTCCTGAATATTAAAAAAATTATACTTTTTATAGAGAAGACAGTCGATTAAAAATTTAAAAATTGAAAGGTTATTTGCAGTTGAAATTCAAAAAATAATACATCGTTTTTACAACAGTAATTTAAAAAAAACATTCCAACAATAAGTAAAAAATATCTGTTGTGGATTTTTATTTATCGCTTTTTTCTTTAAGATTTTAAATTTGTTTATAGATTGTGTTTTCTCGTAGATAGACCTTTACCACCAGTAATTAAAAGTTATTACGCCACTACAAATTCTATAAAAATCATATGGGAAAGCAGAAGTCTACAGCATGCACCTACTACAGGTATAATCATTTTCACATTACAATAAAAGTTGTTTTTCATACATATATGCATTTCATATACATATATTTCATATACATATATTTCATATACATATATTTCATATACATTTATTTCATATATGTAATTTATATTTAGAATATGTGATTTAAGCAAAAATCTTCCTCAGATACACAAATCATTTGACGTATTTTATGCTAGTTATATTTTTCTGAAGCAGTACTCTGTGAAAAATTCCAGATCCAATTATGGTAAAAGTATCAGCACTGAGGTAACCCTCAGTGCTGATACTGTTTTACGGATTTTGTTACCGTAAATTCCACTCTTAGCAAAACAGGTTGAGGAACAAAAGAATTTGGTGTACAGTAATTTTTAAAGCAGTATTCACTGTAGAAAAACTAAATAACTCTAATTAAATAAATAATATTCTAAGCATTGCAGTATAATGATTTATAATAAAAATGGATCTTACTGTAGAATTGATTTTGCTGATGATGCCCCTAAAATGCCGTTATTTGTATCATAGTTTGATCCGGAATTTACTTACAGAGCGGTACATCTTTGTATCCTTTTATTTTGTATCCACATAATTTGTATCCTTGAACCACTGAATAAAATTGAATTTTTCAGGATTGACAATCTATCATAGAACCGATGGGGCAGGTTGGCAAGAATCAAATGTTTCTGGTGACAAAGCGGTGTACACGTTGCATGATTTACTCTGCGGGACGAAATATTATTGTTTTATAGTTGCATCTAACGATGCAGGCAGAGGAAATAGCAGTGAAACTATAACAACGAAAACTACTGGAAGTGGTGAGTAAAGAAGATTTCTACATTTTTTTTTGTAAATATTATAACTCTCTTCCTGCTAGAAAACAGTGCAAAATTATATACACTGGTTATCACAAAAATAAGGAAAGATTAAAAAAAAAGTAGCGATAACTTTCCCAAAAATGCGCCCACCGCAAAAAAAAATGCATATGCTGTAAAATACGAATTGCTAAGTGAAACTGCATCATGTAAATTAGCGGCGATGTAATAGTAAACGTCATCTATATTGGACATAAAAATGCATATTTGATTGCGAACCTGAAATTTTCGCTGTGCTTCTTGTCATGCTGAACAGTGCATTACCTATTTTCTAACATTTAAGAACTAAATTATTTTCGTATTTAATAAAAATCAGTGAATAAAAATCAGTAAAACATAATCGGTAATATTTTAGTACCACAGCCTTGAATTGAATGCAGAATAACATCTATTTTTTTTCAGATTTTCTCTGCATCTGTTTAACACATTATCATATAATTTGAAAACCCTTAAATGGTGGCTAATAATTTTATTTCATTAAAATCCGTTAATATTTCTCATACTTTTCTCCCCCGGCAAATTTTATGAGTAAAAGGCCTATAAAAAGAACCTTGGCAATAAATTTAATTAATTAATGGCCGATACATGGATTTTTTTCAAAAATTTCATTTGCAACAACTATTTTGATGTATACATGACACTCGCATTTTTGTTTTTTGTCTGATGGTGGTGTCCTATGGGCCTTTGTCCAGCAGCTATACACCCTCGGGGTTAGTTTAAAAAAATTTTTTATTTATTAGCATGTACGTACATAGAAGAGAAAAATACTTTTTTTACATTTAAGCTCCATATGATTTCATAAAAAACAATTTTTAAGTAATATTTATTAATATTTAATATTTAAATAAATTTATATATTATAAATTATAATTAATATTTAAAAAAATTTCAACGAAAATTTCAAAAAATGCAAATTTGCATCTTCCTTACAAGAATAATGGTTTGCACTTCCAATAAAACACATCACTGTATGTTCTGTAGTGTTGCTAGAGGTGATCATACTCCCTACTGAAGGTACATTTTCAATTCCTATCTGACACATCTAATTCATGAATCCCATACAGATGCTAATTTTTGCAAAACAATAATTACCTGGTTAATAGTTTTTATGTTATTTATACATTATTATGTGCACCACAATGAGTGCAAGTTTCTTTAAATTTTTTAAGTCGTCATTTTTGTGTTTTTTTCTTAATTTACGATAATTTATGATAGAAAATTACAGCAGGGACTGAAACAGATGCTGCAAGTTATGGCAAAATTACTTCCTCACTGCTCATTACTAAGAAATTCCGCCATAATTTAATTTCCGTTTTGATATTTTGAAATTTTATATTTTAGTATTTTAGTATTTTAGTACTTTTTTTAACATTTGCACCTTTTTAATTTTCATAGGGTGTTTGAAACTCACTTGTTCTGCAAATTAAATTTTAAATAACTAAAATGGATAAAACAGAATTGGTGGTGAAAAAATTTCTCACGTGGTATAGCAAATTCTCCTATGGAAACTATCTTTAGATTCTCCTTTGAAAACTATTAATATTGTTTTTTTTCTATTGTGATTCCTGAATTCTTTAAAATTTCATGTAGAGTATAGTGATTTACGTATTAAGACTGCTTTCATCACCTCTGGAACTCTTTTTAAAATAATTTCAGCACCACTTGCACCAGATAAAAGACTTTTACTTACAATCAACTCAACAACAGTAACAGTGAATCTCAACAGCTGGCATAATGGTGGTTGTCCAATAAAGTTCTACATAATACAGTACAAAGTCAGTGGTCAGCAGGATTGGGTCTTAGTGAGCAATAATATTGTTCCAGAGCAACAGGCAGTATCAATAACTGACCTGATACCTGGCACGTGGTATTCTATTCTGATGACTTCAAAGAACGATGCTGGTTCAACAGATGCTGAATATGTTTTTGCTACGCTAACTCTTTCTGGAGGTAAATATGCATTTCAAACATTTTTATAATTGTAATATGCATTTTATTTTTATAAAGAAAATTTCTGTAACTCACCTGCAGAAAAATCCTGCTTTTGAAACTACTGAAATTTACTGTAAAATTATATTTCAATCTGAGAAAAGTCATACATATTTGCAGTATAAAAAAGATTGTGTAGCAATTGTTGCGGATTTATTTTGCTATATACAGAATTAATTTTTTTTTATTTGGAACACTGAACACTTTGGAACACTGAAACAAAGTAACAACATATTTTGATACTGTTATCTTTTTCCATCTAAGATATTTCTTCCAAATGGCATGAGTTTCCGTAGTTTTGCACAGCATTATACCTTCTTTATATATAAATTAATCAAAGTGATGCGTTTGAGGATGTAACTTAATAAAGTATCCTAACTCACCGTAATTGAATGAATAGCCTTTTCAATGTTGTTCGGAACATCAAGCAACGAATCAAGAGGCTCTTGGTTCCATCACCACTGGTGGCCAAACATCTGGTCAGAAATTCATGGAACTCTTGCTTTTACTGAGATGGGTTTAAGCTATGATTTACTTTGACGTGGCAAATGAAATATAACAGCCTAGGTCAAAATCAAGCAGACCATACACAGACGACTCACATATTTTCCAAATTTCACTACAAATATCAAAACCTTGGCGAAGATCAAAACTATTAAGCTGAGATGCGTTTTTTGTTTACGTAAAATCACCAAAAAATCAAAATAGAAAATTTCCTGGTATCAAAAAAATCTGATCACGAAAATCAAATAGTGTTACAAAGGAGTTAAATGCGGTATTTATGTGATACGGGGTATTTAGGCATGCAATCACAAGTTCATATAAGCTTAAATATATCTGATTAACTATAGTAATGAGTAATAATATCTATTTTATAAATAAAAAAAACATAAATTTGATTTAAATTTTGCACATGGTGTCGATATAAAAAATGTAGTAAAATCACTATATTTTTAAAACTTAACAAATCCTGGCTAAATTTAAAGAGTTTTCATTTAAACGATTTCCCCCACGCCATTTTACTACCTGTCCTAAAAACACCTAAATCTTAAAAAACAAGTACGAAAAACTAAAGAAGACACATATTTAAGCTTTACAATGCTCTTCCCCCAAAACTAGCTTAATTATAATTGGATTTTCAAAATCAATTATAAATGTTGAGAGAAGCCTGGCGTTACTGGCTATATATAAAAAAGCCAGAAGACACTATATTCAAAATAATCACAATTTTCTGCAGAACATGTTGCAATCTGTGTGGGGGCTTAATAACTAACTGATACCCAGATAAATATTTAAGCTGGAACTCTGACATGCAGTAAAAAAAAAACTTTGTCTTGTGGATTTTTACTGCTAGCAGCGCCATCCCAATATCAGTTATGAAAATAATTTTTTTAATTTCTAAGTTTCGAAGTAAGTCTGTGGTTTTGAAATTTCTTGCGTTTTTTTTCTATTAATAGCTTTATTTTAGCTGAGATTTATATAAAGTATTATTTTAAGGTTTTTTGAAGGACAAATTTATTTCACATGTTTCTTTTTATGACTGATAACTTGATAATTTAATGCTCGCTTTATTACATATACATTTCAAAGAATATCCACCACATCCATCTGAAGTGATTGATTCAACTGGAAAGTTTTACCGACATCTATCTATCATTATACCTGTTCTCTGTTCTGTCGTTGTCCTAATTTTAGTGTTCTGTGTGGTTTGTTTAGTGACTAAACGAAGAACTCCACACGGCCGACCAAGCACTATTCAAGGTAAAATATTTTGAAAAAAAATTAAAAAAAGTTATTTTTATTAATAATTAGTTAGTTTAAGCTACCCAATTACATTTCAAATAGAATACCTAATAAACTCCATTTCAATTTAAGATCAAATGACACGTTCGTTTTTCTTCTTCTACTGAACTAAAATCGATTAAAGTTTTAACTGAAAATATTGCAATTGATTGAATAACATATACTTAACATTCTAATAGCATCTAACAGAAAAAATATTATATTTTTCCTATTATTCAGTTGCGTAAATTTTTATGTAGAGGAGTTGAAATTGTTTGATCTCATTTGAAAAAAAAATGAAAACTTTAAATTGTTTATTTAGTAAATATTTTATAAGGAAAAGAAGACATTTCTTTTTAAACACAAAGCTTTCATATGAGATTATAATTTAAATAATTATTGCAAAATTAATTATGGATTAAGAAAAAATATTTTTAGTTTAAAAGAAAAACGTTTTCAAAAATAAAATAAAAAACAAACTCTTATAAATTCAAATGTAATTGAAAATTAACTTTAAAAAAAATCAGGAGTATACTTAATTTTGAAGAGCTTATCATTTAATAATTATTGAAAATAAATGCATTATTTAAAAATATTTTTTCACTGAAATTCTTTCGAGTAAACTATTTTAATTAAAATATTACACGTTGTTATTTATTCCAAAAATATGCTTCGCGCTTATTAATTCAATAAATGGCTGCTGTAAGTTAAAAAAAAACGGAATTTAATTCAGTTTTACTAATCAATTCAGTTAGTATGAATTATACTTAAATAATTAATATATTTATTGAAATAAGGAATTAGCGAAAAGGAGAATTCTTTAGAGAATTTACTGAAGTGTATTTTTAATTAATTTAATTTCGCAAACTATAATTACTTTTAACGAAACATTGATGCTTTTTTTTTCTTCGCAAAATCTATTTTCATAGATATTGAAACTCTAAATTATATGTAATTATAAAAAAGCTTTTATTTTTCGAAATTACTATCTCATCATAAAATGTGATTTGTTTATTATTATTAAGACTTTCGTGTTACTCATTAATGATAAGATAAAAATGTATGAAACTAATTATAGTTCCTTAAACTTTTATATATTATTTAAGCTTAAGTAGGTTCAGAATTTTAGGGAAAAATATTGTGCTCGTGAAAATTGACATTACTTAGTCTTTTGCAATTATTAATGCGATCAAAGCCCATTAAACACTACGAGATCCTGTACTCCGCATATTTTGTATGATATATAAGCTTAAGCGATTTCAGAATTTACTGAAATATTAAAAAATTTTATTATCAAGAATTTATCTTGAAGTTTTAAAAATGTATCATGTCCCCCCCCCAAAAAAAAAGAATAATATAATAAAATGTATCAGAATATAAGTATGTATTTTCCAAAAAATTTTTTTTATTAAAAATCCGCAAAATATGGGGAATGCGATCCCGCATTCTCTATATTTTGTATGATTTGCAATCGTAAGTGAATTTTGTATCTCAGAAACAATAAAAAATATTGTTACCTTGAATTTTACTTAATCATTTGAAAAAATATCAGGTTTTCCGAAAACAATTTGAAAATTTGGAAATTTAATTATATAAACGGAATGAGATATACTAGCATTTTTTAGTTCTTTTTGCTTAGAAAAATAATTTTTCTCTATAAAAGGCGAAACTATGAATGGCATTTATAAAGAGTCCTGTTTGCTAGCAAAACTATAAATGGTGTAATTTGGGCCATGCCAGATCATTCCAATTGAAATATTTCAATGAGTGATAAGTAATTTTGTACTTTGATTGCAATACGTTTTTGTTGTCTATTCTTGCATGCAAGTGATATTGCCTATTCTTGCATCAGGTGAAGTAAATTACGTCTCCCGGTCAATAAACGAAAATGAAGAAAAAAAAATGAGCGAAAAGCTATAAACACAAAAAATGAAGAAAATATAATGAACAAAATTGATATAAATAAAAATAAATAAGACAGTATATATCAACTAATGTTATTCATTCATCGAATTCTATTACAGATAAAATTCAGGTAGGGGAGTAATGTGGTGTAACCACCACTATAAATATTAAATACCAATTCACTAGTATATAAGACATGTTAACTTGATTCTATCTAGAAGTACATTTTGATAGATGAAGGTTGACGTAGTCGATAATTAATTCCCTTCCACGATATTCCCAGGATGGAAATTCAATGCAATTTTAATACTGATGATTCGCTCTAACTTCCCAAAAATATTGACGGGTATTTTCCTATTACCTCGTTAACCATTTCGGCAAATCAGAAAATACATATGGCAGTAGTTCAGTATTAAATAATTGCTGATTTTGGCATGCAATAAATTATAATTTTATGCTGTCTATCTCCTTGGGATCAACTAATATTGAAAAATGACTTTGGAAAACGCCAAAATGATTTACACTTTGGCGAAAAACGTCGACGGGATAATACCTAAGTACCGTTTATAAGAGCATTTGTGTGACCCCCCGTTATATGTAACATTTTTAAACTTGTACACTTCGACAAATAATACACTAAAAATGTCATCCTAAAAAAGAAGTGTTTTCTTATTGAAAAAAACTGATTCAAAATTTGAAATCAGTGATACGAAAGTTTCTAATATCTGTTTAAAAATCTCATGCAAAAGAAATTATTTCTTAGTAGTTACAGTCGGACTTCTATTTAACGAACTTCCATTTTGCGAAATTCTCTATTTTGCGAATTTTTTCGAGGAACCAAGAACATTTTGGAAATTTCTTCTTAAAATAACTTTTGAATATCAAAGTGAATTTTCTATTTAACGAACTTTTCTTTGAGATCCACATTCCCTGTTTCCCAAAATATTTCGAAACGTTTCTAACTTGTTAACGCATTCTATAGAAGAAATGGCTTTGAAATAATTTTCGAAGCCCCTTTTCGCTTTTTGTTTGCATTTCAAACGAAAAACTCAGACAAAATTGACAGATTTTATTAGCAATTAAACTTAAGAACCCATGTGGTAATGTATTTGAAATTACTTTTGAAATAAATGCAGCTATAACTTTATACATAAATTTAGCTCTTTTTTTTTCGTTGAAAATATATGTAGCGTGATAGTGTAACACTGGATAATGTTTTGCTCTATTCTTGCTTTCCATGCAGATTTCTTTTGCGGTTAAGATTTATGAAATAAATAGTAGATACTAGTCTACAAGATAAAGGTGTATCAATTGCTATTTTAATTATATCTAGTGTTTAGGAATTTAAAGCCAGTTTTGTGTTAAGGTATCTCAAAAGTGATTTTCTGTTTAACGAATTTTCCATATAATGAACTCATTATCAGGATTTAACGACTTCGTTAAATAGAGGTCCGACTGTAATTACATTCAAGGAATAGTTTTATTACGAGAATCATATAATTAAGATAATTCTTAAATTCAGCCACTCAATCAGATATCAAGTAATTGGAATATCTTATTAATATATATAAATATTATTCTGATATAAATATTTTTATTTATTTAGATACCATAGATTGCAATGTTACTAAACATGAAAATACACCGCTTTCTGGAACTTATGATTCAAGGGACGATCAGCCTTATCACTCGACGCATTATGCAAGTAGCAGGATACAGAACTACACAAAAGATCTCAATTTACCACCCAATAAGTCAAATTCTCAAAACGCCAACACATTTGGCAGTATGCGAAGTGGATACACGTATGACATCCCTTTGTCTCAAATTAAAGTACAGTATTTTTTATTTAATTCATTACTTATGATTCTACAAACTTTTCCTTTCATTCATTTCTTTTAATCAAGTTTATTTTTTGTTGTATAACCATCGTTCACCAGCCGATCCAATTTTTGTGAGTTTATGGCTACCAATATTCAACTCCGTAGACTTGTAATTTTGTATCCAATCCAGAGGACAAGGGAACTCGTCGATTAAGTATTGAGAGAAATTTGCCTTCGCTGAGGACTCTTTAAAGTTACCCGCATTTCCGTTAAATGGTGAGAAAAATGTTATTATACTTCGAATATTTTATGTCGGCACTGGGATAGGTGGGAGTTGGGTCTGGAATTCGTGTAGAATAGTCATTACTGGGATTCGAACCCGGTAAACTCATTGGGAGGTGAGCGCTTTGAGCCACCACGGCTTATTAGCGTATAGTAAAATGAACTTACAAACTAATCACAACATAAAGAAATTCAATCAAATAATATTATTTTATATTTCAGATTCGTATTTTGATTATCTTATAGAGGTTTTTAATGTTTTACACCACTGTTATGATTATTTAACAGTTAATTTGTGCTCAACGTTTACAAAGTAATTAAAATGTTAGAATGATGGTATTTTCTTTCGGTGTACAACATACGCTTTCATAATTAATATTTTTCTAAGCTAACCAGAGTGTTTAAAGAACTGAAAAACTGGCGGAAACATGCATGAAAGTGGAAAAAAGTTTAAATCCCACTTATTTACTATCCTAATTATTTAAAAAACAAAGTTAAATCTCTGCGATAGATGTTTTTGCTCTGCAAAAATTCCAGATCAAATATTGGTAAAAAATACTGCAACCCTGAGTGCAAAATCCGTAAAATCCATTTTTACCGTGAAACTTTATTCAGTAATATTTATTTAACTACAATAATGCAGTAATTTTTCAGTAAATTATACAGTTATTATTAAGGTATATCAGATTTCTAATGCTCCGTATAGTTTACAGTCAAAGTCAGCCTGGCATTTGGAGTACTTCGTGCTTCTTCTGCATATATGCATTACTTTTTCCGTATTTTGATCTGGAATTTATTACAATATGATGCTAGAAAAATAAATTTTAAAGATAAAGCAGCGGATTATCAAATATACGTATAGTAATTTTACTCTCAGTTTTCTTTATTTTTCCGATAACAGTTAACTTACTTTTTCCAACAACAATAAGTAAAAACTATCGTAAAATTAGTCAGTTGAAGTTCTTTGAAGTTCATATTTTGCATCCAACACAACACATAGCCATGATCGCTCAAGGGATAGAGCGTTCACCTTCCAATGATGCGAAACGGGCTCGAATCCCAGTGATGGCTCTTCAATTCGAATTCCGCAACCGGCTCGCACCGACCACAGTGCTGACATAAAATATCATCTGTGATTGCCGGATCATGATTAAGAAATCCCTTGCCTTCAGACTAACCAAGGTAGGTTTTCGTGGTTTTCCTCTCCATGTGACGCAAATACCGGTTAATTCCATCGCAAAGTCCTCCACGAAGATAAATTTCACTCAATACTTGATCCAGGAGTTCCCTTGTCATCTGGATTGCGTTTAAAATTATTTGGCTACGGAGTTGAACATTAGGAGTCGTAAACACAAAAAAATATGTCTGCCGGTCAACGACGGTATTAAAATAAAATAAAATCCAACACAACACAGTATTTTTAAAGATTTCACAAAAGTAAATATGTATAATTTTGTGTAAACTTTAAAAGAAACAGGGGAAGGGTGATGGCGTACCTCACCAACCAATCCAAATTATTACACCAGTTCAATATTCATGTTTGAAATGTGTTTATTGGTTTAAAGCACCACTGTATACAATGATAACAACATATACAGCTCATTATATTAGCAATTTAAATAGTATAATTTTCCTTAACAGATGAAAACTGAAGATTGTATTTATGCCACACCATCCGTTTATTTTTCTACAAATCATCAACTAGGTAAGTGCAGAAGAATTTGCATATAATTTATTAATAGCTTAGTTACGTTCTTTCTAAAACAAAAATAGGCATAAATGACTTTTTGCTAAAGGAAACAGTGATAAATAGCATTCGGATTTAAGCACATTTTAATCCTGTAAGTAAACGAAGAGAAATGAAAAGAATTAATTTTATTTTGACAATCCACGCTGAACAAATATCAGTTTTTAGTTTGAAGAATATATTTATCCACATAAAATTTGCAAACTTTTCTGCTGCATCTCTCATTGAAAAGTAAACATCAATAATAAGAAACAATAGCTTGAAAAGGAAAATAAGCAAAAAAAATTGTTTTGCAAATAAATTCTCCGCTGAATTACAGTTCTTAACAAAAACCAATGTTCATTTATGCAAAGTTAAAATTGTTCAAAAATACATCGCTTTGTTATCATTTTTAAATAAACATTGCCTTCATTTAAATTTGAATAATATCTTTCCATATTTTAGTTTGGTACAATAGTTTTAAAAATGCTATCATATTCTCATTTTATGAAAATTGGTGAAACTTTATTTTTTTTTTAAATATATATTTATTAAAATCACTAAGCATTTGATTATTTTTCTGAAAGATATGAAAAAGGTTTATGATTAAAAAATAAAATAATAAATACGGTAAAATCATTTATAAAATGTCTTGAGGTTACGATGCTACGTTATTTACTTTAAACAAAACAAATAGACAAAATATTTATTTTTATTTCTAAAAATAAATAATTAAATATATTTTTTAAAAAAAGAAATTTTTTAATTTCTTTAAAGTTTTTAAAATTATTTTAGAGTTTAAAATAAATGCATTTTCAATATCAAAAGATTTTTGTCTTATGGGTCATGGGAAAGAAGTGCATAATTTTTTGGCAAATGTTATTTTCTCGCAGAATAATACATGGGAATTGGCTATTTAAGTACGAAAATTGTCAGTCTAAAAACCTCGAATTTCTCTCAAAAGATCAAAAGAATTTGGAAATTTTATTTAGTTGACATAACATTTTTAAAGCAATCTTCTCATAAACGTAGAGTTTCATATAGCTACACAAAACATCATTCCTGTTCATATGTACTGTGTAACCTACCTACAATAATATGAACTGGGATTTCAGTCGTGCGCTTAGAAAGTCTGATTTAACGCAAATAAACAAATGAATTAAGTTCCATTTGCACAAACATGTAATAAATAGCATCGGCCAGTCGGAGTATGGGCTGCAGGGATTAAAATGGGAATAGTTACTAAAGAAGTGGTACAAATCTCTCTAATGCAATATAATTGAACTCCGAATGTCCTCTAGACTCTAGATTAACATCTAATGTTCTAAAGTTTTGATATATGTATTTAAAAATCCTATATTTTTCTCATAGTTTATAATGGTGCAGAATTGCGCACAAACAGAGAAATAGCCCTTTATGAGGCTCCTTTGAGTAGAACTACACTATCAGAAGAAGAAAAGTTTTGGAGGGAAGATGGAGACGGGTAACTTATTTATTGCTACCAAAAATTTAATTATAAAGTTCTAAAGAACATTCTTTGTCATATTGATATGATATTTGCAAGCAATTATTCAAACATTTATTGCAGAAGTTCCAGTTCAGAATCAGATAATGAGGATTTATTTTTATCCTTACCACCAACTAAAGAGCTGTCATTACGAGAAGATGCTAGAGAGTCTGAAACTGAATGTGATAGACTATGTAAGTACAATATATATATATATATATNTATGTTAAAAATAGTATTGTCAATATTACGAAGCAATAAAAATTCCTTTGGGTAAATTTTATTTTTTAATTTTTATAATTTTCAAAATTAAATATATTTAACTAATCAATAAATTGAAAAACAAATTCAATTTTAAGAGTGGAATTTTTTTGATAATAGTGTACAAATAAACTAGCTAAAAGTGATGAATAATTACATCACTATGATATTTCATTTAATTGAACGAAAATGTGTTTCCCATTATAAATATAGTTATTAAAAACCCAAATATATACATATATATATATATATATATATATATGTGTGTGTGTTTGCATATATGAAAAAAATTTGGAGCAAATTAGAGTATAAGGCACCGGCACTTTTGGTGTACATTCCTTAAAATCTTTACCATTCGTAATATATTTTACTGTAATGTTTACAGTAATACTTGACTTATTAGAATAATTCAGAGATTTTAAAATAATTATTATTGAAAAAATGACATCATATTAGGTTTTTTTTCCGTAACATGTTTTGCGTAAAATATATTTTACGGTAAAAATTGCAGGCACTCGGAGTGTCGGATTTTTCTCAGTGTTCCTAAAACTAAAGTTTACGTTATGTAGACCTACATGTAAGAACTTTGTAGGCAATTTATTGTTAAGAGAATGGATCAATAATACTTATTTGTCCATTAGAACATCACCACACTGCGTTTTTCAAAGTTTTATTTTGCCCTACTCACTGTGAAGTCTTCTTTCAACTACTCTTGAAAGAAGTTTTCTGTCCATGTTGTTTCTCTGAAGTGTTGACGCTCTACCACCTGTCATTTTGTTTTTCAATCATAATTTTTAACCTCTATTTGTTTTCTGTAAATTTGAAAAATCAAAAATTAAGATAATTTTTGTTTTCTGCAATTAAAATATCAATGATATTACATGAATTTTGTTAAAAACCAATAATACAAATATGTAAATATATAGTAAGATCTCTTCTCGTGTGATATAAATTGTCAACGATTAGTATCGAAACATTAACGAATTGTAGACATTCTGAAACATATTCACAGTTTTAAATTTTTTTTCAGTTTCCTAGAAATAAAAATATTAATATAAAAGTAAATTACTTACATTTCACTGTGCTTTTGAAAAAAAAAATTCCTACCTCCTTCATTGCTTTAACATTAAAGTGGATACAATTTATTTGCCTCTCTAGGACTGAAACTCAATTACAGTAAACTGAAACTTTTATGTTAGAGTGTATTTGTATACAAATATACTGTCGAGAGACACGATGTCTACTTCAGTGTTTACTTCTATTGTTATTTGTTGAAAACTCTATTTTGTTTCAGGGAAATCTTATGCAATTCCCCAGTGTAAAGAAGTCAATCGATGGAAAGAAGGAGCATTGGTTTCTTCATGATTTAAGCTTCGTAAGTACAATTGTAATACGTTTAACTTGTTTTGTTTTGCGTAAAAAATATTTAATTAGGTATTATTCAATGCATTAAAACTCAAAGTAAAGGAACCCACAAAGGTATCAATAAAATATAATAATCTATTATGAATATACTTTATCCTTAAAAGTTTTTTTTTCCTAAGAAAATATTTATGTTGCCGTAAACCATATTGAAAAAAAAATCTTTTAAAATATTTTTGATCTGTAATCATGTTAAAGTTTAGTGTTTCTTAAAATTATGCGTGGATAAGCTGATTATTATTTCCTGTCAATTTGGTGTGATAAGCTATTTTCAAAAATGAATACCATGACTTAAATTAGTCATACGAGTCATTCTTTCAGATCCTTTTATTAAAAGTATTTTGCTGTTTATTTGATTTCCTATGTAAAATAGCATGTACCAATTTGCCTAAGCCAAATTTCAATAGTTAACAAAATCAAATTTATATGTTTAATTTTAAAAGGTATTTTACTCGAATTTTGAACTTCCGTGTAAACATTGTTATTTACGTGAAATTTAATATATTATGAAACCAAAAACGAACGTTTCAGATCAGATATTTTTTCTTAGATTTCTGTATTTTAATTCGCTACATTTTTTCACTAGTAAGATAGTATCTAATCATCAATAGATGAAAAATTATAACATTACTGGTGATTTTAAACAATATATTTTTATTTGTCTACAAGTACTTTACTTAAAATCGGTAACTGTAGAAAATATCAGCCATTTTATTGGTTTTTTATTTTAATTTGGTAAATATATAACGCTTACGTAACCTATTGGCTAAAGTTTAAACTTTTGCTGTCATTTTACTTGACAAAAAAAATAATTGTTTTTTACTTAAAGAACTAAGTAAGCAGACACTGATAGTAAATTGGGTCAAGCGCAAATAATAAAAAAATAAGTATATAATTTTTTTTCTTCAAAAAACATCTTTTTTTTCTATTGATATTTATAATATATCGAATATCAGTCAAATGCAGAATAAAATTTAAAATACACAGTTTTTGATGCATTTTGGTAATTTTTTCAAATATGCTTACTTAATTTTTCTTCTTCTCATTTTTACAGATATTCGACTTTACTGGTGCTCAAAGTAAAGTGATCAGATATTAAATTTTAAAGAAATGCAAGCTATTATTGTTGCTATCAGTATTATTGTATGTATTATAATTTGGTAAAAATCTATTTGTAAAATAAAAAATATATAATTAAAATTTTTAAAGTCATATCAGTATTAAATACTTATTTTAATAAGAAAAACAAATCGTTTTATTATTATTAATGAAAATTTTGAAAAAAATACATTCAATTTCTACGAGGGTTACTTTTAATGAAAACAGTCTTGTGAGGAAGTAAGAGAAACTTTATTTATGCACGCAAATTGTACCACAAACTAAAGTATGAACATTTATTCCTTTTTTCACCATTGTCAATATTAACATTGAAGTATTTGTCAAGGTATTTGACCGGCTTTTGAATCTTATCATCAAATAACTTTACCCCCTTTCTGTTAATGAAGTTAGTAACAGTTTCTTTCAACATGTCATTATTTTCCAAGCGCTGTTCTCCAAGAAATTTCTTAAGTTTTGAAAACAACTGAAATTCTTATGGCACATTAATTTTTGATGTGCATTTAAATAAAAGAAATTTTACAATTTAACACATACACCTGAGTCAAACAGTTTCATCCTTAATTTTCATAAAGTAGTCAGAAAAAGTCAAGAACAGATGCTGCAATGAACAGAAGAAACAATGGAAAAAAAGGAAATGATTTGTTACAGGTGACATAAAATATAAAATAAAGTGAATTCCGTTAATTTTAATTCATTCCTATGAAATAAGAATTGGTATTAATGTTATGTATAACTAAATATCTAAGAGAAGAAAACGTCAAGTAAGAATTAACACTAGAAAGACGGATTTGATCCTTATCATTTTTTATTGCCCGCTAATTCAAAAAATAACTTATTGCAAAAAAATTTCGTATTTTCGACTTCTATAATTTAATCCAATTTAAATGTTTATTTAGTATTTATAGTTAGCTTTATAGGAACGCATATATACGGTACGCATATGAATGGATAAAAAAACTTTTTCGTAGGTTTTAAGGTAACTCGACATATCTATTACTGTTATATTTAAAGAAAATGATATATCAATATATCAAAGAAAATAATGTATAAGTATAATTAAGAAGTCAGTGTTCCATTTAATCAAATATTTTAGTTAACCAAATCAAATGAATTCCGCTGAATTCTGATGATCGATTCTTTAATATATTTTTATTAAATTAATTATAGTTAGATTGTAAAGTTTTGGGAGTCTAGTTACCAATGCAAACCATGTGGGAAGGGACACAATTGCCCCTTCTGTAATTCTAAATAAACAGAGATAAACAGAAATGTTCAGTCTTTTTAATGTTAAGTCAGATTTTATTTCTTTGTCTTCGTCCAAGTGTTTAAGTCACAATACATTTATAACTACTGTCTGAAGAAAATAAGCATGCTTCTAGTTGGTATTGGTATAAAAGAGAGAAAAATTGAAGGACTCAAGATCACCAGGAGCCAGGGTATGAACTACTTTAAAAAAAAAATGGCTTTTAAAAACGAAACGTGATGCTGCAAAATTATCTTTTATTTTTGGTGAAAGAAACAATATCATTCATTTTGCTCAAGTTTTTGGTTCGGATATTCAATTGGTGTAAGCGTATTTTAAAATATTGGAACAAATGCTAACGCATAACAATTTGACAAAATAAAGGCTCCTCTTTATTAAAATATGAACAAAAAAGAAAGGTTACTTAATATTTATCCTGTTAAGACATTAGAAAAAATTTTACTTCTATCCAAATGACAACAAGGAAGAAAAGCGGTTTTCAGCACCATTTTTATTGATTTTATCAGTTTTATGCTGAGGACTTAGATATCAAGCACTTTTGTTGAGATTAAAGAGAGGATTTCTGAGGTTGATAATCCTTCCTACATACCAAGATTTTTTCCCCTAGCAGAGAAACTTTGCTTAGCGTTATAGTTCACATTATTTTTTAATGCATTGTCATACATATGCAGACTAGGGTGTTCAGAACAAAGTACTGCTTGTTAACTCTAGTCTAAATTGAGAACAAATAAAATATATTCGAAACATAAAGTAGGAAACATGACGTTTTATGGCTGGAATAGAGCCTCCAACTTCCTTGATTCAGAATTTTTGCGGAACGGCGAAAACGCTTGGCCAAATAGTTCGCAGTTCATCACAATCACAAAGCTATTTGAGTTTCACAGCGCATGCGCGAAAATTATCTTTCAAATCACAAAAGGATTAGAGAATAATGTTATCGTCATGGTTAATATAAGGCTAACACGATGTAAACGAGTGCAAGAAGTGCACACTCTCTTGTACAAACGAGTACAAGAAAGCGTTTTAATTAAGATAGAGTCCCTCCATTACTGCTTGTTTAACCTTTTACCTGCCGATGCTCCCAAATGGGAATATTTTTTCGTGAATTTTTTCTCATCTAATTATTTGTTCAGATTTGTCATATTTTCTGAAATGACGCAGAACAGTATGAATTTATTTTAGTTGCTGTTAATTTTGGGAAAACTGTTCAACTTTCTTATAATATTAAAGTCAAATTTACTGAATTTCTGAACTTAGAATTCTTTTAAGTTTTTCGGTCTCTTATTTAAAGAAAATAATAGAAAAAAACATTTTATTGGTGTTATTTATTTGCCAGGGGACAGATATTTCGTTTTAAATAAACAAAATATTTACAATTATTATTTCTAGGGAGTCATTTCCGTAAAAATTAAAATTTTCCCATTCGGGAACATCCGCGTTTGGAGTATAGTATTTGAGGGAATTTTTCGTCACTCGCAAAATTTGAGTGCGAATGTGTGAATCCTTCCTTTCTTTCACAATTATTTTTTGAAAGCAAGCAACACCTGCCCACAAGACCCCCCTTTTTTTATTGTTGTGAAGAGGGGCTTGGTTCTTTGCCCTTCACACCCCTGTTCTATGTAATTCGTTCGCTCTATTGTTTGTCAATCACGGTTTCGTGGTTTGAAATCTTCATGTTTTCTACCCGATTCAATTTTTAAAAATTGCATATGCGCTTCTCATTCGTTAGAAATGTATCACGTGACTAACGGAGAGGCAAAGACACGGGACTTTCGATGAGCGGTCTCATTTCAGCATTTCATTTCACGACGCGACGTAGGTGCGATCCGTTTCTTTTATCGAGTTTCATACGTACCAACAATTGTGTTTTTAGAGCACTATTAGACTCAGAATGAAATAGTTTTCATCTGTTTAGTGTTTTTCAATTATCATTCAGTATAAATATAATAAAAGTATAATATAAGCATAATAAAAAGTAAATTTCTTCATTTGACATTCAAGACAAACAATAATAATATTCTGGCGGAAACATTCAGTTTTCCTATTTGAAATTATTAGAATATCTCCTAAACTAATAATCTTCAAATATTACTCGAATTAACTTATAATTCTTTGAGGGTAAAAACAATTTGTAACAATATCATTATAAAATATTAATTAAATTTTTCCAGGATGTACTTTCAGTGAAATGTTTGAAAAATAAGATTGGCATTAAGAAAAAGATGAGCGTAGTTAATTATTTTATGACAATTACACAAACTTTAATTTTTTTTTCTACTTAGTGCGAATCATATTATGAATAACATGAAAAAATAATCTTTTTTTCTTATAAAAAGAAAGAATACAAAAACTTAGTTAATGGTTTTGGAAACGTCTAATTAACTCCACACACGAAATGTAATGAATATTTTTATACGATAGCAGACAACTATTATAAAAATGCAATACATATTATTTCAAGCTCCCTTGATTAAAAAGTCAGACAAAAGTATAACATTTTTACTAAATTTTCCATTGAAAAAAATACATTAATTATGATAACTTACTTATAATTTAACGAAGAGTTACTTACGCACATAATGTTTTAATTATTAAATAGTTTAGGTAAAAAATTTTCTACTAAAAATTGAGAGTATTAGCCATGATTAAAAGTGGTCCAAAATGTGACATAAAAATTATAGTTAAAAAGCTATTTCAATAAAAGATCTAATTAAAAAAACATTTTAGCAGCTGAGACCAAACAAGTTCGTATCTTGAGAAATTGTACAAAATTTTTTTAGTAGTTTACAATTTTTTAATAGTTATTTTATAAGAAAAAGTAAATGTCTTAACCTATTGTATATCTCCAAAACATATTTCTCTAAGTCTGTAAATATTAAGTATTAAGATTGAATTAAGAGGAGTTTAACAAATGGCAACATTCATTAATTTTGTCAGAGTATCGATTACATCTTTCATTACAAAGAATTTTGTGTTACAAGCTAAATAGTTTAAATTATAATAATAGTTAAATAGTTTAAATTATACAGTTTAAACATATTTGTTTTGTCTAAATTATTTAAATTTTATCTGGTTCTAAATTTCAAATTATTTATATGACGGTATGGATGAAAAGATTATTAGATATTTTCGGGAGTTAGTAATAAAATTACCGTACTAAATTAATTGAAATTATCGTATTGTATAATGGTGACGTTTCTGTATTCTTTGAACAAAAAAAGACATAATTTTGGTTAATGAAACCTAAATATCCAGTGTTTAAGACATTCATTTGGCATTTTTTTCTGTTCCTATTGTAAAAGTTTACCGGAAATTCTGGTTTTCAAAATTATAGTTCGTATTTTCCCACATTTTGCAATAAACATAAAACTATGAAATGAATTTATCCAAGTAAATGCATTCTATGCTCTAAGGTATCCTCATAAAATTACTAAAATTTTCTATATTTACCAAGCTTAATAAAATTTTATAAAATCATATTTTACTGCTAATTTTACAAAACTAATTATCCTAGCATTTCAGTAAAAATTATCGATCTTTTGGTAAAGTATTGAACCCAAACCACGGTATGTTTTATTATATTCTGGTAGATTTAATCACATTTTTTAAGCTTTAAAAGGAAACCATTCAACTAAGGAAACTAATTTGACATGAAAACGTACTGCATTAGTAATGCATCTTAAGGGATATCAACACTTAAAACAGTAAAGCAACGAACATGTCAAACTAATCAGAGAAAAACTCATTTTATAAATTAAGTTCAACTTACTATATGATTAATAGTCTAGGCTTTTCTTATTTATTTAAATTTAGCTAGATCTTATTTGAG